GGGTGATTCAGTTATCGTAGATGTTGATTCTGATGGGAATGTTACTGTGCTCAATGGTAGTAGTGGTGCTCCTGAATCGTTGGAGGAACCAATTCCTGTTGTCTAATCCGGACCCTGTTTTCTTTATTGATGTTGTTTGTACCTTTTTCACTGTAACTGGCTATTTATGATGGTAGTCTCTTTCTTGAAAGCACTGCTGGGCATTAGAGTGGGAAGCTTAGGCAGCCATTATTTGATTGATTTTGGGCTTTAAAGCTGTATTTGTTACTCATAAGTAGTTTGGTTTTCATGCTTCAGTTGCAGGGGCAGATAGGAGGAAGTCGGGGTGGGTTAGGCTTTGCAGATTATATTTAAGGATGTACTGACTGATAGGGTTAGGCTTTACATGGTTTTTACACTGCCACGGGCTGCAGAACTCAATTACCATTGCATATTCATGCATGCAAGTGTCTTTCATCCTTCTTGGTATTGGTATGTAAGTTGTATATCTTGTATTCACCTTAAGTTTCTATAGATCTAAATAGACTATAACCTCTCTAACTGGCAGCTGTTTCAATTCAATGCGTCATCCAAGTACAAGACACTAACAGACTAATATGATTTTGGTTGGATTCATCTTATATTTTTTAAACTAATATGGTTTAGGAAGCCTAACAGATAATGTTCTAGATGAGAATACGATATTCAAGGCGTTTTCATAATCAACATATACATATATGAACAAGATGTTTGAGTTCTTATGACCCAGAAAAGCAGCAGGAAATTTTTTTTTTTACTCAGTGGGTGCTCACTGAGCACTACAAAGAGCGAAGTATCGGGTATTGCTAGCCATTATAAGCTGCATGAGATTGTCGGTTTGTAGGACTGACACTTGAACCCCGACTCAACTTGAGTGCCTCCAAAGCCTTCTGTATCTCCATATTCATGGCACTATCCACACTCCCTGATGATAGTTTCTTGTGTGATTTCTGCAAATGAAGCTTAAGTGAGCTACTACTCAGACCAGCATTCTTTCCACAGATAGGACACACTTTCATCATTGGTCTTCTATGCTGCCATTCCATAGACATCCTCCCATATAGTTTGTGATCAAGATTCAGTAGGATCCTTGCAAATCCATCATTCGGCTGGGCTCTGCGGTGAACTCGCTTTAAGGCATTCCATGCTTCTAGCAGACTAAAGTTCCTGCATGCATGCAGAGCAACATGTTTAGATGTGGCTTTTTCCCATCCACAGCTTATTTACATGTTAGATTACAAGCAATGTAAAATTATCACTTACTTCTTGAGCATCAAGTATGCTATCACTAATGTTGCACTTCTACTTCTGCCTTCAAAGCAATGAACTAGAACCTTCCCACCTATTTGTTCCACATGGTCAATAAACTCTGAAGCTTCTTCAAAGATGCTGCTGATATTCGTATCTTCATTGTCACTTATCTGTTTGGATCGGATAAGTAGTTTGTTAATAAAAAACAAATTGAATACAGAGAAAAATGCACAAAAAGCATTACGAAAGTTATCAAATGTAGTTATAGCATTAAATTAAAACCATTTGTAAAAGCTGCCTCGGAGTACCACCAGACAGAAGAAAATTCTGTTCATCACAAGGATTGAGGATAAAACTCCTATTATTGTTGGCTGGCTTTTTTGTTAGGAAAAAGAGTTTTTTTGTGTATTATGCTTATTGTTACTTGAGAAAAAAAAGGAAGAAAAGAAAAATATGCGGAAACTATGATGTGGTTCTAATCAACTACATAAAGAAACTAGAATTAGTTACTCATGCAAATGCCTTGCTGACACAAAAAGAAAAATGAAAGGTAATAAAATGCTTACAGAAAAATTTTTATATTCAAAGAGATCAGGATACTGAGAATCTGATTGCCCAATTTCGTTGGAGCACAAACACAATATATGAGTAATTCCCAAATATTGAAGTGTATAAACAGATCTTGCAGCTAGGGCTCCACCAATAAATAGGCTACTTGAGATTGCAGATGGCTTCTCTGTATTAGCTGCTTCAGATATCAATGCTATCCTTTCAAGAATGTGCTCAAGCCTGACCTGTAAATTATATAGAAATTGAAGATAGATTATAGAGAAAAGAAGACAGTTAATAGCTGTGTAAGGTTATTTCAAAAAGAAGATAATAGCTCTGTAAGGGCCTGGATGTTGAGTTTCCCATTACCTTCAACTCATAAGCATCGACGCAAATGTTATTATCACTCCCCTCAAAAAATCCTGTATTGAAATTATTCTCTTGGCAGAGCTTCACTGCTTCATTCCTTAGCATTTCCGTCCATTGTTCCAGTTCTTTATTTGATTCAGCATCAACCTGAATACACCAATATTAATATCAATAAAAGAATTTACAGAGCACCAATATGCCATTTTGCATAGCACTGACGATATGAAAACTTTCTAGATAAAGATCTAACAGACAGGCGATGTATTGCAAGAAGTGAATGAAGTGAAATAGGAAAAAAGCTGAATAAGAAATCAAGAAAACGAAGATATATATCAATAATCAACTCTGAATTGTTAAAAAAATCAATAATTTTTATAGCAGATGTGGCTAAAACCATAGTAATTACGTACATGACCAACCATACAACTAAAACATGAAATTTTTGTCAGTAACATAATATCTCAAGTGACTGAATAGAATTTTTAACTACTTAATATTTTCTAAATAAACAAAATATTATTAATGGTAAATACAGTATCATAATAATTAGGAAACTTAACATGAGATTTGAAAAATGAATGGACAGAAAGAATTCTTGAACTACTTAATAATTTATAGTAAGTTAAATATTCACTAATAAAATGTAAATAGTTGGAGAATGTCTTGAAATTAAAATTTTTCCTTTTTAATGTATTCCTAAATTGCATTAGCAACTCTTAATTTTTACTTTTCTGTTTTCCTGTCACAAAAGCCTTCATTTATCGGAAGTTAAAGCACAGTCCAGATAATAGTTGCTCTGTATCTTCAATAATTGTGCATGAAGTATTGCCCACAAGAATTGGAACACTTTCTTGTGCAACAAGGAATTTTCAGCAATGTGGTAGCCAAGGGGCACATGAAAAGTGCTTTCTAACTCGCAAATTTCACCAAGAACAACGATATGCAGCGACTAACCTTGGCAACTTTGTGGAAATCTCTGAGCTTTGTTGTTAAACGCAGACTGCGAAGGGGCTCCCCACTCCCTTTATGGAACTTTCCATGCCAGCTTTCCCTTGACATGGGAGAACTAAAGTCCGAGCTTTCTTTATTTTCTGAAGATGACGACGACCTAACTGTTGTTCTCTGCAAATCTAAATCACTGTAATCTGGATGGTTATCGCCGAGGACCCGTTCCTTGCTCGGGGGAGATGGACAATGTCCACAAGAAGTTGCAGCTTGTGATGGTGACTCAAGAACTGAAAATTCCTCCTTGTCAAAGTCCCCCGACAATGTCTTATTTATAATATTCAAAAACACTCGTAATAAGCCATCTAATTTTTGGTGAAGGGTAAGTAGGAATATATGGAATCCTTGTAGATCTCTTAGAGCTGCACGGAAACCAGTGCGAAATTCTCGAATATCTGAGGTTATTTCAGTTGCTCGTGTAGAATTCATGTCAGCATCTTCTGATAGAGGAGATCCTAATTTTCCTCCTGTTATTTCATGTAGCAAATTAGAGGAGTATTTACTACTGTTGAGAAGTAACTGAACCAATTTTGGATAATTCGTTTGGTCATTTGCACGTTTTCCAGCTGGAGGCCTACGAGGAACACCAGAGTCTATAGCTACAATTTGTGACTGACAAAGCATGAAATCATCAGATGATGGACTTCTAATGCCCATGTCACTAGATTTTGGTGATTCAATAATATCAGAAAGGTCAGAAAGCTGCGATACCAATCCTTGATTATGAGAGTTAAATCTACTATCCACAGAAGTGGCCCTTCTTTCCTTTTGAATAGCTCTGAAAACCCCTGGTTGATAGCGTTTAATTGAAGAATCAAAGGCTTCCTCCACGGTATCCGTATTTGCAGAAGCCAGTTTGTCAGTCAGCAGTAGATTTGCTGGGTTTCCACGCCATCTTAGTTGACGGCAAGGGAGTCTATCTTCATTTCTGATCACAAGGTCCAACATCAAAACCCTTCCAAGAGCTGCTGCAACTTTTTCTGCACTTTCACGTGTCTCAAAGGCACTTGCACTTTCCAATAAAGGAGATCCATGAACATAACTGCAAAAATGGAAGCTTAGAGCTTTAGAACAGTGCATAGAAGAACTTTTTATTTCTTTTTCTTGTCTTTTCCTCGGAGCATTCTCCAGTGCTTCTTACTGCAGTGTATAGTGTTATTAGCATAGATGGCGCTAGGTATGCAAGCAGCAAAGTAGAATCATGGTCTGTATATACAGCATACTTCTATGGTGTATCAGTTACCCCTGTTGTAGGGTTAACATACATGAGTATGATTGTATAAAAGCCAGGAAATCTTTGTTAGACCCACATGATTATGAATTTATGAATCTGTAAAAGCTATGAAAAAGATGCTCCAATGCTCCCAGCTTTGCTCCAACTTCAAAGCAATGGATCATGCTGCATTCTGAACTGTATTATCTCCTATTTAACAATGAGCACTTTTTTTCCTCGATTTTATTCAAGTGGAAAACGGATGGGAAAACAAAAACGAAAAGGAGCCTTTCTATTCAGAAGAAAGTAGATTGCATTCAGAACATTGATCTTCCTTCACAATTAAGAATCTCTAGAAAAGGAGATCAGATCTCTAAATAGATCCAATATGCAGTGATCCTGGAATTTGTAAACTTGCAGGAAGGCACCAAAGGGCAAGACCATCTTTTACATAAGTCAAACTGGTCATTTAAAAGCCCTCAAGGATAGTCTACGCCTTCCAAGCTTCATTTGATACATAATCATTTCCAAAGCAATAAGATCAAGAAAACCGTTCTGAAAGTCTCCATAATAACAGGGATAATATTGAAATCTTCATCTACACTTAACCAAAAAAAGAAGAAAGAAATCTTAACCTATTCAGCTTTTTCTCTACTTTCTGAGTAATGTAAAAGAAACAATAGAGGATAGCCAAGAGCAAACCAGAAAACCCTAGCTTATAAATACCATGTAACAAGCTCAATAAAAAGTATGAGCAAAGTTATGATCTAGAATGGACTATATGTCAATTTTAAGTAGAAGATTGATGACAGAGCAGACAGAGACATGATCTGCTGTCACATTATAGTGCACCTAATTCACAAAAGAAAAGAGGCCAAGAAATTAAACAGAGAAAATTACTGTTTTTCACCTCATCAAGAGAAGGCAACGACTGAGTTCAAGAGCCTCTGAAAGTTCTGAACATGTCATTTCGCCAACCTCATCTCCTTCTGAAGCTGCTGTAGCTCTTGCGTTGTCTGCAGCTTCCTTAATCTGGAGCCATTCTGGGCTGGAATTATGGATTACTCTAGCCTGTTCTGACAGACTAACTCATGAGCAAAAGAGGAAAATGTAAGGAGAAAATAGAAGGTTCCAACAGAATATTAACAAAAAGGCTGAAACTACAAGCCAAGGGTGTAGAAATTACAAATTTCTGAAGAATAAAGAACAACCTGAGGAGTTCGCACTCCTAGCCACTTTGCAAATTCGTAACCAAGGCGTTCTGATTGTGTGGCCATCCTTGATGATGAAAATTTTATAACAGCTGCTGCCTCTTTTGGAGAAGCATCACTGCTGCCATGTTGGGTGAATAACGCAAAGAAAACAATACCCCCGGAATTCACAGTTACCTATATAAGCAATTAAAAAGAATATGACGAGCCCGAAAAATGGAAAAGATTCTTCAAGAGTCTCAGGTCCCAGAAGTGCATGATAAATACTGCCAAAACCCAAAACTGCGGAGGAAATTAAATGAAGTACTCCAGATACAAAGTATGGAAAGGTGTCTATAACTTCTCCCCCAGGACCTATCTCCAGGTAAACTTTTATTTTTGGGTCTATAAAACTGGAGCTAGTATTGCTTTTCTACTATGCGGCCGCAATAAACATATATAAGCTAGAAACAAAATCTAGCAGTTTAATTTTGCCAGTCAAGAGGTAAGAGGTGGCCTCTTAGCAATAAAAATCATCCAAAACCATTGAACAAATTTTATTATGGCAAAAAAGAAAACTTTGATTTTGAGTATCCATTTTTGGAAACAAAGTAACTGTTGGCTGTTAAGATATATCACTGTAAAAATAATGCCAAAA